CCCTATACAAACTTCAAACATTCCAAGTGCCAAATCTCATATCCATTTTCTTTAGCTTAGGTCGTTTATCCAAGGAATCCATCCAGTTCCAAGGCTTTGTGTTCATTTTCATAACATCATTATTTTTTATAGTGAGGAGTTGTTAGCCCCACGCCCATCCCCCAAGCTGGAGGACCACCCCTTGTTGGCTGTCTGCAACTGCTTATTCAATATATTCGCAGCTTCCCTCCAAAACTGGAGGGCATCTCCTCCATCCGCAACCTGAGGATGGGCAATGCCATGGTGACAAGGGACCCACCTAATATGGAGATTCTGCAGATTAAATATATAGTAAAATTTGATGTGCATACCTTTTCTGTTGTTATCTGCTTGATGTATATATATGCTGAAATGAAACTACAGTATTCGATTTCACTATGAATGCACAGAAAGCAGATCACACTCTGTATCTCGGCCACACTGCAACTGTCTGTTCACAACCAGAGAAAGGGCAATAATCTCTTGCAGCTACAACGGAAAGTCTTAGCACTGAAGAAGGGACCCCTCTAACTTTTTCTTGAATAGCCATGCTTTTGTTCTTCTGTCCTTTAGTCAAAAGATTAAAAAATCTGAAGGGTGTAACAAAGAGGTGAAACTTGCCAGCAGCAGACCAAATGATTTTATTGCTTTCATCTGTTTTATCAATGCCAGGGACTGCTAAAATATGTCAAGTGTTACAAGCAGGACTGATTTTATAATGCATAACTACTTTGTGAAGAACTGGGAAACCATTCTTACAGTACCCATCAAAATAAAAAAAAAAAAACAAACGAAAATAAAGTATAATTCTTTGTATAAAAATTTGCAAATTTCATCTTATAATATACGACACTATGTTCTTTGCTGATAAGAACAAAGTTAATTCCACCCATTTATCATAAACACAATGCTTAAAATTGTTTAAGATGCAGAGTAGCAACGGGCATTTAAGTAAACTCCGGCCAGCTCAAGCTTACCACAATTTCAGAAATCCAGCGTTTAAAGGTTAAAATGCATTATAAGTATACCATGTATTTCTTGAGAAGAATCATACTTGAAACTGTATAACAATGTCATATTCAAGCAGCTTCTCAATATAAAGAACTATATGCATGTTGTTATTAAAAAGCTTCTGGAAGTTGAACATCACTTACTCTGAAAATAGACCAATTTAATATTGAAAATTAATTAAACCTCATTTTATCACATTCTTAAAACACAATACATGTAGGTATCATTATTATATATGAAAAGTAAGTTACGAAAAACTGAATGAGCAAGATCTCAATTTAAATGTATCCCCCCCTCCAACCCAAAGCACAATTTCAGGAGAATTGAAATAGAAGTAGAAGGAGAGTACACCTAGTCTTCCAGTTACATAATCATTAAGAAAGGTTGCAAGCATGTTATGTGAGCTTCGTTTTGCAACTTGAAAGAATGGAATAAGCCTCCTCTATTTTTGGTTATATAATAAAACCAGTAACCCATGAATGTGAACTATATGTGACATAGTAACAGGAAATATATAAGAGGTTTTGTCAAAGCGTCACAATTCGTTATTATCGAGAGTAGATCTCTCTTTATTGTCACAAGGAACGTTTGCTGAAGACTAGAAGAGGTTTAGTCAGTGTATCTCAATTCATCCACTTCCAGAGATCACCATGCAGCATATAAAACAGAAAATGCTCATTAGCTATGCAATCTCAGACAGGACAAACCAGCCTTTGTAAGAACAATGAGTAATTGTAGGAAGGTAATGCATCTCTTGCTTTAAAATCTGGCTCTGAGAAGAGGATTGTAAAATCTTGAGATAATGATACAGTTATCAAGTTTCTGAACATTATACATTGTCCTGTTTCTATTTCAAACACAGCGTTTTTGATACTGGATTCTGCCTGTCTTCAGGTGGAACCTGCTCAGATGGGCCAAATCAGTCACTATCACCTGACACCAGCACAAATACAAGATAGGGTATATAAACCAAACACAGCAAATATTAAAAAAACCACACACACACGAGGCCTAACACCTACGTTTACTACTGTCAGGATGTAAGTGATGACTTCTATTTTGTTAGTAATCTGATTTTAACAATAGCTACAAAATAGTGAATGGACATAGGTGCTAGGTCTCATGTGTGTGGAGTTTTCTTTAGTGTTTGTCTTAACTCTCACAGATGGTTTGTGCTGTACTTGGTTTACATACCCTATCGTGTTGGTTCTGGTGTTCAGAGATGGTGACTAGCTCTAATTAATTGGGCGCAAATGAGTGGGTTCCACATGAAGATGGAGACAAAATCCAGTATCTGGAACGTTGTTTTAAATAAGAACAGGATGATGGATAATTAATGCCCAGAAACACAGTAATTTTATTAATATTCCATTGTAAAAGAATTTCCAGATCTTCCTGAGCTAGGGAGTTGTGTATATCTGCAGTGGTGGCAAGCAGTAACTGAAGTGGAAGTATTCGAACCTGTGGGGTTCTCTTTTCGATGTGTGTGTCTTTGTCATTACTCCTATGACAACCCACTTCTTCGGAACAATTTGTTGGCCCTGAAAAGGACCGTGGTTGCTGAGATGATTGACCGGTGAGGTAGCGCGGCGCGCGCCGGTGAGGAGAAAGGCTAGTTGCGGGGAG